AGCCGTTGTTGAGATCCGAAAATCTGAGGGCCCGTCAACTCGTGTACTCGCGTAAACTTACATGGTCGGTCTCGCACGCGTGTACTAGCTACGCTTACACTTGGCGCGAGACACTACCGTGTCTCGTGATACGGTCTCAGCTTGGAGGAACATAATAAGAGACTCATGCAAGTTTTCAAGCGCTTACGCAGCAGCAACCTGAAACTACAGCCGGATAAGTGCGAGTTCCTAAGGAAGGAAGTAATCTATTTAGGACATATCATCACCGAGAATGGAATCTCGCCTGATCCAAATTAGAAGCAGTGAAAACTTTTCCAACCCCTAATAAAGTCAAGGCTATCCAATCTTTTATCGGTCTGGCAGGATATTACCGAAAATTCATAAAAGATTTTTCTAAGATAGCAAAACCATTCACAAAACTAACAAAAAAGGGAGAGAAATTCGAATGGACGACCGCACAACAAAACGCATATGACAACCTAAAAGTCGCATTGACAACTGCACCAGTATTAAAATACCCGGACTTCACTGACGAGTTCATTGTCACGACCGACGCATCAGATTACGCCATCGGAGCAGTACTGTCGCAAGGAACAGTAGGTCAAGATCGACCCATCGCGTACGCCAGCCGCGTACTATCGCGACCCGAACAAAATTACAACACAACAGAGAAAGAACTATTAGCCATAGTATGGCCCGTCAAACATTTTCGGCCATATACAGGATGTCATTGAATATTGGGGACTTTTTTGGTGTGCAGGTAGACCGAGTCGTAAAGTCCTGTTTTGCAATTTTCGCAATAGATAACGAGTAATTAATTATTCAAAATTGTCGTCTTAGCCCGGCCCACCTCCCAATTCGAGCGCGTGTTGAGATGTAAACGCCAAATTTGACAATAAATTTGACCGCCAGGCGGTCACATCTCGCCACGCGCTCGAATTGGGAGGTGGGCCGGGCTAAGACGACAATTTTGAATAATTAATTACTCGTTATCTATTGCAAAAATTGCAAAATGGTACAGGACTTTTCGACTCGGTCTAATCCGCTCTACCTGCATACCAAAAAGTCCCCAATATTCAATGACACCCTGTATACTATACGGCACCAAATTTAAAATTATTACAGATCATAAGTCACTTATATGGCTATTTAACGTTACCGATCCCGGATAAAGATTGATTCGATGGAGGCTCAAACTAGAGGAATATGATTACGAAATAATCCACAAAGCCGGAAAGAGTAATGTAAACGCAGACGCATTGAGCCGCTATCCCGCAGAAAATAAAAACCTGATTCACCACGTCGATACAGGAGAAGAAGAAGGAGAACAGAGAGAATACTCCGCGGAAGAGAAAGAGCAGATACTATACGAATACCACGACGCTCCGTTAGGCGGCCACCAAGGAGTCGCGCGAACCCTACACCGCATCAAGTTACAACACCACTGGCACTGTCTAAATAAAGACGTCGAAAACCACATAGCTAGATGCGAATTCTGTCAAAAGAATAAATTAAAATAGAAAACTAAAATGCCGTTAATTATCACGGACACCACTATGAGGCCATTTGAGAAATGCGCCCTAGATATAGTGGGACCTCTTACGATAACAACAACGGGAAATAAGTACGTCTTGACTTTTCAAGACAATCTAACAAAATTTAGCAAGGCAATATCACTCGAAAATTAAGAAGCGAACACGGTAGCAAAAGCGTTCGTAACTATAATAAAATAATCCTCGAACACGGAATACCGGAAAAAGTATTAACAGACCAAGGCACCAATTTCACGAGGAAAATATTTACAAACACGTGCAAATTACTAAAGATTAATAAGATACAAACGACAGCTTATCATCCGGAGAGCAACGGAGCTCTAGAAAGGTCGCACAGAACGCTAGCCGAATACCTACGCCATTACATAAACACAGACCAAACAGACTGGGATGAATTAGAGTCCCTGTAGTAAAAGTCTGGCAAGAAATATTCTCCGTTTGATTGGTTTGACGCAAAATGGCGGAACCAATAAGGTGTCTCGAATCTGTACTCTGAACGCGGGATTATTATTATTATTATGATTTGGTTACCTTTGGTCTGTTCGTTATCGCTGCATTACTGCACTAGTGCAATTAACTAACTGCACTAGTGCAGTAATGCAGCGATAACGAACAGACCAGACGCCATTTTGCGTCAACCCTTGCCAGACTCTTACTACAGGGACTCTCGGATGAATGACTCCCATACGCCATGTTTACGTACAATACTACCCCGCATACAGTGACAGATTCACCCCATTCGAATTAGAGTCCCTGTAGTAAGAGTCTGGCAAGGGTTGATGCGTAATGGCGTCTGGTCTGTTCGTTATCGCTGCATTACTGCACTAGTGCAGTTAGTTAATTGCACTAGTGCAGTAATGCAGCGATAACGAACAGACCAAAGGTAACCAATAATAATAATAATCCGCGTTTACAGTACAGATTCGAGACACCTTATTGGTTCCGCCATTTCGCGTCAAACCAATCAAACGGAGAATATTTCTTGCCAGACTCTTACTATAGGGACTCTAATTATTATACGGACATCAAGCTATACTACCTACCGCTCTAACGAAACTACCACGACCGACGTACACGTACGACAAATACGCAGAAGAACTACGCGAAAGAATTCACGCAGCAAACGAAGTAGCGAGAGAAAATACAAAGGAAGAAAAAGAAAAAGCAAAGATACAATACGATAAAAAACAAGAGAAAAAACATTTAAGGCAGGAGACAAGATATTAGTGAGAGATGAAACAGTGCGAAGAGGCAGATCCAAAAAAACTAGAGCCCCAATGGATCGGACCATATACAGTAATAGAAAAACACAACGAGGTAAACTACTCAGTGAAAATGGGACGAAGGACAATCCGCGTACACGCGAACAGACTGAAACTCTTCATTGAATATTAAAAATACACTCACCTACTCCCAAACCTCATAAGCTTCCACATCATACTCGAAATCAAGAACACCATCGTCTGACGCAAACACGTCGTCCTCGTCAGCAAACCCATCCTCGACCGAAACGCCCCGTCCGTCCGCCAGAGAAGGACCCAACGAGACAGGCGGCACGGGAAATATCTCCAGACTTCCCGAGGAAACGGAGATGACCTCCGACGCCTCGGGCGAAACGGACAACACCGAGTCACTATCGGAAAACACCTCAGACCAATCGTCTGAGGGGCGATCATCCGAAAAACCCCACTCAGAGTCATTATCGGAAAGAATCGGATCACCCGGTCACTCCACAGACTCCACCACAATACCCTCGACTATAAGCGGCACATGAAAATGCATTGTAAAAAAGCTGCGAGAGTACTGACTGGTAGAAGCATCTAAAAGAAGCGGTACACCCAGTGGCATCTAGAACCACGCATCAAGTAAGGAAAGCGAAAAGATAAGATAGAAAGCGAACACGACGCGAGATACCATTGCGTATATAAAAAGAAAACCAGAAACACTTACCAGGGAACTATGAAGACGCAGCGCGTGAAATGGCTTCGTACCAGGTTAAAAACTTGTAACGATGCCCCGATAAAACATCGTTCCCCGGCCGAATAACCGCCGGAGACCGCCCGACCGACCACCAGTCGGGCGAGAAACGGGCGCGAGCCGCCCGCCGCTAATACCGCAACACACGCGGGAGGCTACCAGCCGGGCCCCGAACGGCCCCGGAGATAGCCGAGCGCCCACCGAACGAACACCGCGCGGGCAAACCCCACGCGCGCGGCACGCAACGCT